GTACATCTCGGATTTTTTTTGGAATCCTCAGCTACTACAACAATCTTCATGGGCGGGAGCGTGCGAAAAAAGAACCACACCTTTGAGCAAGTCATGCAGGCGGATCTTTGAGGGGGTGTTATGCAATGTACATTGCGAAACGCTGTATATAATCATTACTGTATTTGTTGTCTCCAATCTCTTATGATCTCTCAGATTAGAGATATCCAACAGAAGCAAAAGTTGTGCTCATAAGTTTCGCATATATGCTATACATATATCACTTGATTTCTGTAGGAATTCACTTTTCATCGCATTTAACTTCACTTCATTATCGTAAAAACCTATTCACGACAAACAGTTCTATTAAGCGAAATTTTAAAGTGTAAAGTACCGGAACGGTTAAGTCCTTCACTCCTTCACGGTTAAGTCCACATGTGCTCAATTCTTCGTCTACTATTATTCCGCTCTATCAGCTTTTGAACTCTATTGCGTTTTGAGTCACAACGACAAGTGACGGGGGATTCCGCCAGTCAGCAACGAGACCTATTGATCAACTAAGAAGCTGCTGTATTCAGGACCAGTCCGCTTTTTTTTTATCAAGGAAAGCTTCTGTGATTTTCGATTGAGCATTATCCAATGAGACGTTTTACGAGGTAACTTCTGATAGAAAGAATCAACCTATGATATTAGAATTGACCAATACTCTTCGATTCTTCGTTGAAGGTACCGAACTCCATCACTCTGTGATTTGAAGCCACGAGTTCTGGGACAGGAGGCCACTTGGCCATCTAATACGCGCTCACAGCTAGATTTGAAGCTTTCGAAAAAACTCGATGCTTTCATGAAGAGTCCTTATGTGGTTGGGTGAATGTGAGTTCAACTCGGTGGACGCTGAACCGGAGTAGAATGGAAGTTCTTCGTTCCGAACTTCCGGGGAGAAGAAGTAGCGTTTGGTTAGAAATGTAAAATCAGGGGAAATCCTGTGAAAGCGATAATTGCTTTGAACAAGTGCCTCAAAGTGCGTGACTTGCTATTACAAGCTATTTACAATTCGAAATACTATATAAAATCTTTACTTTAATCAATATACAAATTGTACGGCACTCTTAAACCCAAACATATCACAGATGGACGACACCTTTGGCTAGACTTCTCAATATAACATATTCAAGCCATGTATTGCGAGAGGATCACATCATATGAAAGAGACGGGAAAATTCAGGTCACCGGAACAAGGAGGCAAAGAAATGGATATGATGGCTCAATGCAAGGAAGATCCAGAACATCGACCAAAACAATAGAAATTTGAGCAGTAATTATAACAGAAACAAACATGTAAACAAAAACAAAATGCTTGAACTCGTGAGTTGATTGCAATAGGAACGGAGTGTGAATGGCATCAGAAGAAAGAACGAGCAGCAATGAGACGGCTGACGATCGACAGCACCACTCATCGAAGAGATTCACGCTCAGAAACGCTCAACAATCACGTCGGCGTCTTCTTCGACCTGTACTAACAGCTCGATCAAAATTTGCACTCCCAACAGTCAACATAACGAGGGGGGGGCCCGGGAATCCACGAAAAGACAAGCAACTGAATAGTTCACACACAGACACGCACGAGATCGAACGAGGAAGCGAAGCAAACGCACAGCAACGACAGGCACATCGAAGCCAACCGAGAGAATGATCACGGTTATACCTGCGTCTCCACCCGAGGACGGCCGTTTCGAGATCTACCGTTCAGCGGGTAATGCTTCGGAGGCGAGTCCATGGTATCGCCGTCTCCTCGGATTACGACTCCTCGTAAGTTGCTGACATCTCCGCCCACCGACCTGCACAATCACTATGGCACTAGTACAATCACAGACAGAAAAGCGCTCAGAAACATATTCGCAAGAATGTCAAGCCTCTAGAATACTCGAAACGCTTGAATGTGCTTGATATCTGATAAATCCGAAAATTTTGGAAGAGTTTTTGAAGATTCACTCTGGCGCGAACGTCGAAATCACTTGAGGGTTAGAACGGAATAAGGAAATCATCTTACTTGTCAGGGATAATCGTAGCTAGTCTTAGTTGAGAGAGTATATAAAAGCTAGGCAAGAGAAGTGACGAAGTGAAGAACCGCTCATGTTTTGTTGTATGATAACCAGAGCGAATTGTTTCTGAGCGCTCAGAAGACATAGAAGCGATAGAAAAGTGAAGGAGTAAACAACCACTATGACTTTCCGTAAAAGTGTGTGTAAAAGTGAGAGAGTGGTCTTTCTGGCACTTGTATCGCTGAAGCACAGTGTGTATTACATCGTCACATTGTGCTTCAGCGGTACAAGTGCCAAAAAGACCGCAGTTGTGCATAATTTGACCACACGGGCTTTCTTAGTCTCAACTTTAAGGGCAGTACTCTCATAGTTACGCTGTGCTAAAAAAACGCTGGTGCTCTGACGGTCAGTTCAAGAGGATTTCGTAGTCATCATTTAGTTCAACTAGGGCTAAGAAATATCGTGCCAAAGGAGGGGG